TCGCCTAGAGGTGTACTTCGGGTGTCCTTGTGCTGTGCAACCTGAGTGGAACTTGTGCAGTGAACACCAAGTTTCGCGACTAACAAAGCCCAATGCAGATCGATTGTTTGTACTAAAATAGGTCTTCATCGATGGCCTAGATATTCGAAGATTTCAAATTCGTGAACGTAACTCGCAAACATGTGGGTTACATTGAGAAATCGAGGTCATGGCACCATGACACGACAATTAGCTAGAGGTTGGGCCAGAGAACCATTTTTTGAGTGATATTAGGATAGTTGAAGCAGATAGACACACACCAGCCAAGGACAAGTTCAAGATAACGGGCGAATAGTACGAAAGGTCGCGGACTGTGACCAGTGGTGCCAGGTGGAGGTTTGAAAGTTCGTTGAGTAACAGGTCACGCGACGTGACACATCATGTGCCGGCGGTACTTATTTGGGCGGCTCTTTGAACTCGTACCATTACCATGATCATCTTTTCTTTCCTTGCTTTGGGGTCTTGGCTTGTCGATCCGACACTCCTGGATATATTATTTTTAAACACATTCATCAACATCTGGATGTTCACCTGATCTAATGACCTCGCAGGAATCCAATCAAAGGCAACTTACCTCTCCCCGCTAGTCGACTTCTTTCTCAACGGCAAGGCTATGGAGTTCTTGTGACTTCATTGACCTAGAATGTCCACGGACATTTGACCAAACATGTATCTTCCAATCATCTTCTCTGACACGCGAATCATGTCAGGCATTCTTATTTTCAGTATCGAAAGACCGATATCGGTGTGTCATGATTCCCAAACATGGTTTTTGTCCCGCGGTTACCCCCCGCCTGTTCTCCTGTCTACACCTCAGTGATTTGTCGTTCTTGGAGACCGGAGACGTCCAACCTCCTTTATAAAGCGCACCTTCGGCACGCTAATACAACACCCTCGAAATGCTTCAGCTCACTCCCACACAAACATTTGTTCTGTTGGGGCTTATATGTATCCCGCTGGTACAGTTCCTCATCAAAAGGCTCGGAGCACATCCTTTGGACAAGATACCTGGCCCTCGGAATAACTCCTGGTGGAATGGTAAATCTAAATACTCGACTTTCCTCTCGTAAGGCTTACACCGATGTCACTAGGCCATTACGAAGAGGTGTTTGGCTCGAAAGGCTGGGACTTCCACCTGATGATGGGACAGAAATGTACGTGCATTGTATACATACCTGCTACCTTAAATCTAATCGTTGCTCGCCAGACGGGCCTACCTCTTCGTTTCGAACCGTCTATGGGGTATGTACGCTTGCTGCAACTTGAACATGACTATTGACATCTCCATTTACAGGAAAGACAACTTTATACCTTTGATCCCAAAGCAATTCACCATATTTTTGTCAAGGTACGATGCTCATTATCGGTCAAACCTTTAGCCGGATAGTCTTAATGCCCATACTCTAGGATCAAATGGTCTACGAGGAGACGGCCGCATTCCTTGAGTATGTGACAACATCGCACTTCTCGTTCGTGAACTAACTGTCTCTACTGAAGCTCCAACGAATTGATGTTCGGCAAGGGCTTACTTGCAACCTTGGGCGACCATCACCGAAAGCAGCGCAAGATGCTTAATCCAGTGTTTTCAATCGCACACATGCGGAATATGGGTGAGTACTCCCAAAGATCGTAAATGGAACCTGATATCATATGGATAACTGTTCAGTACCGATGTTCTATGAAGTCGCGCATAAAGTAAGTACAGCATTTCCATTTGAGTTGGACACTCACCGATCCCGCAAAGTTACAAGATACGCTGGCGAGGAAAGTCCAGAGTGGTCCCCAAGAGGCGGGTATTGGTCTCATGACGTCGCATGCATTACGCTTATCATGAGCTTACACAGATTGATATGCTCTCATGGATGGCGCGAACCGCATTGGAGCTAATCGGACAATCCGGACTTGGCTACTCATTCGACGAGCTCCAAGACGAAGAACACGCACATCCCTATGTTAAGACCTTGAAGGGCCTCGCGTACGCCTCCTGTTGCCATGACCTTTTTACTGTCAATTCACTGTGCATTTCTGCAGACCACTTTTGATCCGGGCGTTTTTCATGCGAAACTATATCCTTCCATACGCCAAACGTATAGGGACACCGGGATTCCGCCGTGTCGTATCTCGATTCATACCCTGGAAAGATTTTCAAGACGGGAGGGACATGTCCAATTTCCTGTGGAAGCTTTCGACGGAGATCTACGAGGATAAGAAGAGGGCATTGGAGATGGGCGATGAAGCTGTGAAGAAGCAGATTGGTGGCGGCAACGATATTCTGAGCATCTTGAGTGTGTTTCATTGTCCTTGCTCTGTACGACAAGAGTCTGACGTTTCCCAACAAGTGAACGAAAACATGAAAGCATCCGAAGCCGACAGGCTTGACGAGGATGAACTTATCGGCCAGGTTTGTTGGTTTCGCCAGTTTTGATTTCAATGCTCTGACGCACCGTGATTCTTCATAGATGTCGTGAGTAGTGCAGTTCCCATATGGGCGAGTTGACCTTACTTTTCGACTTCGTAGGACTTTGATCTTCGCTGCTATGGATACAACCTCGGTGAGTGAGTTAGTGCATGACCCGGAATTGATTGCTCAAGGGAGGCCGATCATATAGAGCGCATTATCTCGTATTCTTGAACTTCTGTCAACACATCCGGAAGTCCAACGTAAGTTGAGAAAGGAAGTCGATGAGGCTTTCCAGGATGGGGACATTCCTTACGATGCGCTCGTTTCGTTGCCATATCTCGATGCAATCGCAAGAGAAACTCTGCGATTATACCCACCTGTGCACCGACTCATGCGCACTGCGACACAAGACATCGTACTTCCTCTTTCTATACCTGTTACCACTACCGATGGAACTGTCGTGTCCGAGATTGTCTTGCCGAAGAATACGGACGTTTTCGTCTCTATTCTCAACGCAAATCGGAATCCTACAATCTGGGGACCTGATGCTGATCAGTGGAAACCAGAAAGATGGCTCGGCTCACTGCCGAAGACGGTGACGGACGCGAGACTCCCTGGGGTCTATTCTCATCTGTGCGTTTGGTTCAAAGCGGGGTTCCGCGATCCTGTCTAACTTCATTTTGTAGAATGACATTCAACGCCGGAGGAAGGTCGTGCATGTGAGTGGCTCAAATACCCTTGGGTCGCAAGGGTGATTGCTTACCTTTTTTTCAGCGGCTTCAAATTCTCCCAACTGGAAATGAGTATGTTGTCCTGCCCGTGAAATCGCATCGATATCTAACATGTTCCACAATGCAGAGGTCGTCCTGTCGCTCCTCATCCGAAGTTTCGAGTTCTCTCCTTCCGATAAACAAATTAACTGGGCGATGACTGGTGTGGCTTCACCTTGGGTGGCCAGTGGTCCAGGGGCTTCTGACCATCCTTCGATGCCGATGAAGGTTTGCCTGGTGCAGAGGAATTAGAACGTTGAGAATGTATTTATTACACTACGATGTCAACTTACGATATTCTACAATTCCAATGTACTTGTACTTGCCAGTTTACCGTTTATGATTCCGCGAGTCCTGGGCATCACTGTACATACCTTTTCCGGATCACTTGAACCACCACCACGATTCGGACGACGACGATGTCCTCATATCACCATTGTTGCAACGTCAGAACCTCTTGCCTCGCTGTCCTCGACAGGGTGATCACTATCAGACTTAAGCCCAGGCACAGTACAATTCAAAACGATGCGAAACGGCGACGTGTGAAAGAGTCGCTCTTGTTTCTCAACCATGCTCATCCGCCGCGCTCTTTTTCGTATCTTCAAGCTATACGTGTACCTCGCAAGGATTTGGCTTGTCGTCGGCGCATTATATCTCGCACTACCCTCACCCCTGCCCTCCGAAGATGCCGTAGTTTCAGACCTTCATTATGGAAACACAATTCGCCGCGTTTTCACTCTCAGCAGCTTCTTTCCGACCTCGGAGAAGCTAGATTCTGTGTGGAACATTCACTTTGGTCATGGAAGCTACCACCACTTTATCATGGAATTCCAGCTTCTTCGCCAGAATGGAACGGACGTCTTGGCCTTTGGTAGGACCAAAAACCCTATGGATTCAGCAGGCCTCTTTGGTGGGAGCGAGACCTTCATGACTCCTGCATACCGACACCATCTTCCTTTGGATCAATTTGACGGTGACTACGAGGATATTTCAGTCTCACGACCCTTTATGTTGCCCAGGATTCCTCTAGGCAACCCGGGCGGTTTGTTGGCACCAGTACCGTGGATAGGGACAGCGGATTCTGTGCTATTGACGTGGAATCATGAATATAAAGACATGCCCCTTCGGATACGCAAGGTGCCATCTGAGGAGTTGATAGAGGTATGGCCAGAGTCGTCTTTCTGGGCAACTATCGGGGTGAGTGTTTGGCTTTACCTTGACTTGGAAGACGTTTCTGACTGTGTGATCTTTTGACTTTGGTAGCCTGGCGAGGTACCTCCCAAGCTCGTTCCTTTGCTTTCTATTCGCGTACCAGGCTCAGCATCACCTTCTTTTACATTCGCTCCTTACCCAACATCATCCTCGCCGTCCTTGTTGTTCCCAGTACGGGTGGCTATGGTGACTTATGTTCTCATACCCATCGCGGAACTGACAATCTTCTTCATTCCTTATGTTCTCCTCTTGTTCGAAAACATGTCGACGTTTGCTATGTTCATTCTGAACGTTGCGGCTATTGGTGTTGTTGGCGTCGCGGGGTATGGGCTGTATTGGTGGATCAAAAACGAGAGGCCCAATATGTCAGCTTCCTTGAATGATGTACGGACAGCTCTGGACTCGACACTGGAGCATGCTCGACTGCGTGCTGAAAGTAGTCCTACGCAGAACGATGATGCAAGCGATGCTACGGACCTGGAGGCACAGGTCGAAACAAAAGTTTAATCAGATTCATTTCGGTTTCTATAGTGTACATACATCGGGGTAATAAACAGTACTTGTAAGGAAAAATGTAATTCCAATGCGGGGAATCGAACCCCGGGCTGCTGTGTATAGTCAGCAATGAAAGACAGCAATGTTAGCCACTACACCACATTGGATGGAATCGTAGGGGATCAATAGACGTTAGGATCACGTCAGTAGATGGTGATCAGTTTACGTACCCTTTTACAGCTCTTTGAACGTTTAACGTTCAAGTAACCGTGGAGGTCTTGTTCTCTGGCAACGTCGTCACGGAAGACTTCAATGTATTCGGCTCGAATAACATGGTGGGAAGTCGATGGAACGGCGGCTAGGTCTGTTATATTTTTTGTGTCTATCCCGTGTTATTCTCATTGAAGTCTTCCAGCTTCAACCGCTTTTTCTTCGAAAATTTAAATGCTGTGCCCGTACAAAAGCCGATTGTATTCATGAGAAGGAGAAGTGATGCGGTATCGTCAACGGCAACAGTAACACGATGGCGATGTCTTAGAAGTGCGTTCCAAATTCCAGTGCAACAGTAAATACAGCTTATCGTTTCCCACCCAGCCTTTCCCCACTCTTTTACAGCTCGAACCGCGCGATTCAGATGCAAGCAGCAATCTCGACTTCTCCTTATCGTATTCCTCCATGGAAAGTGAAGGGCAGCTTTACGCTCGACTACTTTTCCCACTGGGGCATGGCTACGCGCTATGGTTGCCTGAGCCCAATGGTGACCTTCCGGCAGAATACTCAGCTGAAGGGATCAGGATCGGAGATGTTGGAATCATCACCCCGGATGGTGGATTTGACTTTCTTTTCAACATCTGCTTGCCCGGAGACCATCCTATTAACCAATCTCGAGGCACGCCCCATCATTTCATCCCCATTTCATGGAACAGCCAGACATACCAATCACCTAATCGGTTTCGCGCAGGGGTACCTATCTGCAGTAGACGCGCAAAGCAACGTCAGATTAGCGTTGAAGGGTCAGCACTTGTTCCGTACGTGACCACCTTTCTCACTAGTCTTCACATGTCACTAAATGTTCATCTCTATCTCTAGCGGCTCGCCTGTAGGCGTAGGTGGAGGAATCGAAGTTTCTTTCAACAAAAACAGCGGGGCAGTGCTGATGCCTTCAAACGGCGCCAGTCGGGTTGATGCTTCGCATCGAGCCGCCTTTCGCGACTATGCCCAGGCACACGCAGTCGATTGGTACTCGTTCGTCAACGGTACTCTGGGACGCGAAGCTGAAAATGGTTCCATATATCTGGTTACTGGTTTTGACAAATCGGATGCTTGGGAGAACGTGCTCTTCGACAGTACATATTCCACCCAATCGTGTTCGCTGATTTTCAATTCCGGTGGGATAGCTGATGGACGAATGAGGTTATCGCGGTCCTCCATCTTCCAGTCGTCCATCACGAGCAGATGTTCGGCTCATGACGCGAAGACCAATCAAACCCTTTTCATACGTGGTTTCCGGATATCACTGAGACAAGGACCATATTCTTGGCTTCGAGGGGAGATCAAAGTTGCCAGCACATACGAGTCTCCGGCGAGAGACATTTTGGACGCAGCAGGGCGGTTTTCGCAGCCACAATCAACTAGACAACGAAGCACCAGTGGCAGCAGTAGCGGAAGCTCGAATGGAGGTGCCGCTTTATCCGATGATTCTGCCGTTTCTGAGGATTATGGCTCTGGTGCCAGCGATACAAGCATCGAGGAGGATGGCTATGTCTTTTCTTCACAAGTATGTATACTCGTTCTATTCATTTCGAGGCAAGATCACGTTCTGACCTGGTTTTGTTTCAGGCTTATCATCCTCTGACTGCTATCAACGATCACATCTTGGAAACTGTGAGTCTTCCCCGACAAACTATGTACAGCTGCTCATCGAGGTCTAGCATCCTGAAATAAATGTCGTTGTTACTCATGATGACGATTGGATATCTCTCCTTGATCTGGAGGTTAGTGTTTGAACTTCAATACATCGTGGAAATACTGAGGTCTACATTCAGGATACCATGATGCCGAATGACCAGACCCTCATTCAAAGATTGCACGATAGGTACCAGGTCATTGGAGTGGATGGTGATAGCTTCTTTCCAGGGTTCGTAATTCGGTGATGCTGAACTTGTTCAATTTAGGCTATGCTGTGTTGGAACCCCACATGGAATTCCCTAGCCCAGAGTTCGCAAAGCATTGTGCAGAGATGGACGAATCTGCAGACAGCTTCAAGATAATCAATACCTACGATACTCATAACCGAAGAGTGCCTCACCAAATGCTGCACAGCTGGAGGTCAACATCCGGGGGAGACTTCGGAGAACCTGTCAATAAAGATGGCATGAAGATATCAGGTACAAACTATGCCAGCTCATCTCGCACGCTACCACCTGCATCAGCGGCTACACGAACAGATGAACAGCTTTTCGAACAAGCGGCAGCCAGTTTAGGATTATTGCACGACAATCGAGAGCGAAACGCTCTCCAGCGCTTACCAGGATCGCCACTCCTCATCGAGTTTGACTTCAGCTCCCAGTCGAGCACAGATCTTGATAATCTCAGGTTATCGTCTCATCTGCAAAAGGAGACACGATTCAGTGAGGAGCGAGCGAGGTTTTATGCGGCTGGATTGGTACTAGCTCTGGAGTACTTACACAAATATGACATTGGTCTTCAGTGCGCCACTTGTTCTATTCTCGAAGTTGAGACACTAACCCACTGTTTAGCAACCTTCAACCCGAGAGCATCCTATTAGATGCTACAGGTCACATCTTATTATGTGGACCTCTCTCCGAGACATATTCCCGCACAGACGAACTCACCACAACGCTCTGTGGCACACCTGAGTGCCTAGCGCCGGAGATACTCCTAGACGAGCAAGGGGACTCCAAGGTGGCCGATTTTTGGAGTCTCGGCGTATTGACATTCGAGATGTGTTGTGGCTGGAGTCCGTTTTATCATGAGGACACGCAACAAATGTACAAAAACATCTGTTTCGGAAAGATTCGATTCCCAAAGGGCGTTATTAGCCAAGACGGGAAGCAATTTGTCACGGGTGTGAGTGGTTCTGGTTAATACCGCCTCTACATTCGTCCTCACCGTGCTCCATAAAGCTGCTTAACCGTAATCCCAAACATCGCCTTGGCGCCACTCGTGGTGTCGCTGAACTCAAGGAGCACCCCTTCTTCACATCCATTGACTGGGACGCGCTCTCACTCAAACAAGTCAAACCTCCTTTCACGCCTTTTGTGGAATCTGATAAGCCAGCCACCAGTTTTGATCAAGTGTTAGCATCTGCTGAGGTTACGGGTTTCTTGGTCCGGAATGGTTTCGGAGCTGCAAGTGTGAGTGTAGTTCGGTGCTTGATAAGAACGGCTCTTACCAATACTATGCATTTGATCAGCACGTCGACGCAACCCCGGTGCTTGCAATTGGGGAACATGAAATGAGTCCTTTGGATGCAAGTGCGATGGATATCGACGATCTCCCATCACCAATGGGGTCGGAAAACGAGGACCAGGGATACGACTATCCCGAGAATGGCCGATCGAAATTTCCCACTACTCCTCAGGCAGCAGCGACAGGCGCTCCTCACACCCAGGATAAACAAACCCAAAAGAGTTCTGATGCAAAGCAACGCAGTCTGCCCCCAATCAACCGGAGATCGGCAGAGAAACAGACACAGACGTTGCAGTGTAACTTTTGTCGCGCTCGAAAGGTAAGCAGCCGATGTCGCCGCTTGCAGTGCAGCCTACTGAAAAATATCATCAGATTGCATGTGGCCCGGCTATCACTGGAACGGTCAATAGAACTTGCGGGTAAGTTTTTTTCTTTCTTTTTACTTCTGCCCAGCGCATAGGAGCGGTACTTTTGTTAGTAACCGCATTTCTGTGATCACCTTGAGGGTGTATCAGTGCCGTGCTATGTCATCACAGAAAGTTCCTCATGAAGCGCGTCGTATATCTGATGCTAATGGTGTTTTGTCTTCTTTTTTCTTGTAGCCAATGCCAACGACGATCACTGACGTGTGTCTATCCAACTGAGAGCCGGCGTGGGCAACGGAAAAAGATGCCTTCAATACTTCCCACCTCGAATAACAGCACGTCGAAAACCCAGATCGGTCCAATGGCCCAAAGATATCGTAACTTGTTAGACCTTCGCTAACGTTGTTTGTGTGTTGTATTCTCTTCTCGCCTTGCTATCACGCCCCTCTTGTCATCCTAATAATTCTGGTTCAACTACCGATAATCATATTAGGCTTGATCAGACTTCGGTGCTATGCTGCCTGTGCAATGTTCCGAACCACAATAGAACCGAGTCGAGTCCGTATAATTGAGGTATCCAAGGCGTGATAGAAGAAAGAAACATAAGTATCGCAAATCGGGTATGTATCAGATATTAGTGTCGTCCACTTCATGAAGTATGCTTGGAACATCGATGTCCAAACCCAAACCGCCGACAACCTCTACCCGCAAGATGCGTAGAGGTCAATACTAGGGGGTCCGTCTTTATCCTCTCATCAGCCAAAAGCGCATCCAACGCTTCCTTCGGAATTTCGTCCTCGATCTCCATCAGAGCAACCGAATCAATGACATGCCCATAAGCTTCTTCGGAATCAAAATTGAGCATCGATATTACAACGTCATCAGGCGAAAGCGAGGGATTGTCGAGTCGATATTGGGCTTGATGAGCGAGGAAGTTGTCGTGTTGTTCCTCGATGTATTGGTCTACCATCCATTCTTGGAAGAGTTGGTCTCGGGAGTCGAGGTCGCCAAAGGACCGGTCTAGGCCAACGAATTAGCGAGAGAAGCGAGGAGTGATATGGTAGACGTAAGTACCATGTACACAACTATGTTTGCAGTAGTCACAAACGAGAGCCTTGCAAACATCCCGATGACCAGCGCGCCAAGCTTCCATCTGACATGTTCTCGAGCAGTAGTAATCGACCTTGCATCCTGTGCATCTAAACATCGGTCGCCGTTCTTCTCCTTGATTCTTCCGAGGTAGTGGACACTAAACAGAGTGAAAGATCGTTAGCTCATGCAAGACATCAAGTGCACAAACTCATGCCTGTGAATTGGCGCATAAATTCATCTGGAACGCATCCCACTCACGCTTCTTCGCAACCCTGTCC